AAAAAGTGTGTACGAATAAACATATATTCCCTAGAATCCTATATTCACATTCAAACACTCAGTCAAAGTGTAAGGTGATCACCCAGCAATACTTTGTGTATTGACATGGTATGTTTGGGAGGAAGAAAGTAAGAGTGTTTTAAAACGCCTGGCTTTTTCCAACAAAATGAATAAATACAACTTTAAATTAGAGGGAAGACAGACACTCAGAGTCTCTCCACTCTTGGCTTTTGGCCCTCTTTCACCACAAAATGCTTTTCACCAACATCCAACCCTGGCTTGCTCAGTTCCTTGTCCTATAACTGCAAAATCTTCCTCCGCTATAAATTCTTCCTCCAGTTCTCCCATCTTCCTAGCCAAACAGCACTACTTTCCCACCCTGAGATCTCACACCACCCATCTCTCGCCATGTAACATCTTGCTGATGTCAAAGTGATTGCCAAAGTTCAGCCATAATCTCCCATCTCCTCCTCTTCCCCTTCTATCACTTGCAACCTCCTCTGCCATATAACCACCACCACCACCAAGTTCTCACTTGCTTCACTTCCAGCTCCTCCCTTTGCCTTGTTCTTTAAATTTATTCATTCTCTTTTAGCTATGACACTGAAACTATTCTTGCCAATGACGTCTTCCAACCATATTTTGGCGCCACTATTCCATTCTCATCCTCCTTGATTTGTCTGCTGTGCTTCATACTTCATACCCTCATTCTGGAAATCTTGTTCTCCACTGTCCTTTTTTGTTCCTTCATTGTCTCTCTTGGCAGGTCTTCCCCTGAATGAGGACTCACCATGGACAGCACACAAATAACCCATGGGTTCAACTTTGTTCATAAAATAATACTAATTGAGTGACAAATCAGTAAAAAATTCATGATGTGTTCAGATAACTTACCAACAGAAAAAGGGCATATCTGACTAACAAATGAGATTATTCACAACAAATAATTCTAAAAGAAAGTAACACACTGAAATTCACCTTGCTATCCTAGTGCTGCTGTCAAAGCATTTAGTCCTCTGAAGATCACCTCATCAGAGCTGGAACTACTGAAATCCTCCCGTTCATGTGCAGTGGTCACTTTTTAAAAATTTTAAAATTTTGCCTTAGACAACATTAGTTCAGCATTATTTGTATTGTGGTTGTACCTGGAGCCCCAGTCATGGACTAGGGCCAAATTGTGCTAGGTGATGTACAAACACAGAACACAAAGATGGTCCTGCTCCAAAGAGCTTACAAACTACATTTCCTAATGCTGCACTTCACAGGTACTCCCAATATTAAATCCAGTGAAGTTACTAAAAAATGTAATTAATTAATTAATTAACTGAAATATAATAAATAAAAAATAATATAACATCAAGATCCAGTGTTGCCAGTTCTCTCAATTTTATCACAAGTCTCGTGTTATTTGGAGTCTTCTTAAAGCCTGAGCTCCTGGAGCCATGTGATTACATGAGACTCTCAGCTTTCAATTTTTTAAAAGTCATGGTTATGGAGAAAAGCTTTAAAGCATGAACCCTAAAGTCTCAAAAAACAGAAGAATAATGTAAAAAGAATCCAAAGTTTATTTTTAAAAGAAATATTATGACTTTTGGGGGCTTGACTCTTGGTTTTTGAAGGTTTGGGGTTGGCAGTACTAGGACTGGGGTTTTTTTTAGCCAGTGGTAACATTGACACGTGTTTAGTACAACCACTATTCTTTCCTATGTGAATGTCAATGCTAAACTGAACATAACCAGACCCAATTCTGAGATGATGAGAGAGAGAGAGACATGAGTAAGCAAACACCAAAACCAAAACACATGGGCAAGCAATGGGCATGCCCATCAAAGTGCAATAAAATGTTAAATACTTAAAGAGTTAAGTTTGTAGAATAAAAAGTAAATACATGTTTGAAAAAGAATTTAAACCACAGTAGGTCCTTTTTAAAACCGTGCATCTTAAAATACCAATTTTGCACAGTTAAACCCCAAATTAGAAATGTATCAGAGAATACCCTTTGCTATAAAGGCAGAGAGAGAGGATTAAAATGTTAGTCCTTCCTCTGGAAATGTTAAAGGCAGAATTTTCTAATGTATTATTTAGCGCTTGTTATGTAGTGCATTAAGCAGTCACTGCTGAGACAAAGGCTTTTAAAAACCAACAGCCTCCCTGATAGCATTAAATCTTACCTTAGATTTTTGGTTAAGTCAATATAAAAAAAATAAATGAATTAATACAGTTCAGCCTGCCTGATTTATAGAGGCCAATCAAGTTACAATGCTGGGCATGGCAAAGTGAAAGAGGGGAATAGATTTACCTGAGTGAGGTCTTAATTTAATCAGCTGGCCCAAGAGAGCTGAAGTCAGCAGGCTGGGATGATATAAACCCCAGTAGAGAAATAAAAGTAGAGCTGCCTTTACCACAGTTGAAAAGGAGAATGACAGTGATGGAAGGGGAAGCTAAGCACTGTCAGAACACACCTATTTCAGTGATTTATTCTTAATTTACTTTAATGACCCTCTGAAGGTTGTCTGTTTTAACTTGTGTTCTCAGAATACTGATATGATACTTTCTAAATGTTTACCACATGTTTTCCCCCTTCCTTCTATGAACTCTACCACAAAGTTATTATTGAAGAGAAACTATAGCTACTGTATATGCTTTGTAGTGGAACTGTGATTGCAGCTGGAGGGGCTAATCTGTTTCCACTACGTATCTGCCAACATCCCTTCCCTTCATTCAACCTTGGTTCAGTTCTAGACATTATTAGTTCCTCCCAGATTAATGTTGATATTATGAGACAGATGAAGGAATGCCTTGCATTTATTTTACAGTTTAGATTGGCAAAAGAACAATATGTATTTTCCAATACAATAGCTCATTTTTATTATGAAGTGAGTTTATTGATGGTTGTTGAAAACTACTGATTTGCAGACAATGATCTCAGTTTGCATTTACATTTCTGGAATCCGTTCCAAGAATTTGCTTCTATAATTCGGAGTTATCTTAAAATCGGGCTGTTGCTTAATCCGTATAACAAATCTATGCATTTGCTCTCTGTGCAAATATACATTGCATTCATAGTTTTCACAAAGTATGGACATGAACAATGGCTGCTAATTAATAAACTGTTTTGGTTTTTGCTAGACACTTGGGTGTTTTCAAATGAATTGCACTCAGTATTGGATGAAATGGTAATTTTTCTAACAGTGGTAATAAAAAAAACTCAAGGACAGTAGGATTTCACTACTACACACAAGTAGATGTCTTTATTTACTTGGACTTTCCAAAACTACCATCATTAGTCATCTCATTGTTTTAAAAGTCCACATTTTGTGTAGGAATCCACTAAGGAAATAATTTTTAACAAGTTCCATGCAAGAAGAAAATGGTTTCATATTGACTTCATTTGCACTTACCCTTAGAGATGTTGGGTCAGATTCAGCCTTGGTTTCCACCAGCCTCCATTGATGAATTAGATGTATTGTGCCTCATGCTCCACTTGTGCATGCTTCAAAACCGAACACACACACATGTTAACGTGCACCCATTACAAATTAAGACTGGCACATCATCTAATACTTATTAATCCAAGTACACCCATCTCCACACGGAGAGGCCAGGCAGCAAACATACTCCAAAGCATGTTTGAATAATCCGAATGGAAACAAATAGGACAGCAGCACAGTAGCACTAATAAGAATGAAATATCAAAAAACATGCCCTAAGGCCAGATCTGCAGGAAGAAACAGAGCCACAGACTGTCACAAAGTAACTTCAGGAATGAAAAGGAATTAATGGGTTTGGGTCCTAATAGGAAATTTATATGGGGAAAAATAACATCGCTAAATTGTTAATATTTCATCCTTTAAAAAAACCAAACTGATTAATGGCCAGGAAAAGTAATTAAACAAAATGGGAACTGACCCTGCTAAACAAGATATTTGCTTCAATATGGGAATATTTGTAGATGTATCTGATTGGTTTGAGGGGAAAAGATATTTCAAGTTTACCTTCTGACTCATTTTTCTCAATGAGCCTGATTATGCACCCATAATGGGGAGCAAAGGGACATCCCTTTATTGCCCATGTCATCTACCCATTCAGTGGGGAGCTGCATCAGGAGAAAGCAGCTTATGTCAGGCTGCTACATCCCCACCCAATTCACATGGGCAGAAAGGTTGGGGAATAGTAGAGCCTTGGCTCCACCTAATACCACACTGGTCAGCACAGCTGTATCCGTGTGTCAAAGGACACACATTGCATTAGGTAAAGGAATGGTGCTGGGTACATTCCCAGGTCCCAGAGAGCAAGGGGAAACCAGGAAGCAGACAGTGAGTGAGTCAGTCTGCTCCCAGGGCACCCCTCCAACACAGTGCCCCATACAAAACCACATCTGACCCCTAACATTATGATTTAAAGTATGATTAACCTTACATAGTGCCATCAATTGCTAATCCAGTACCACAGGAGAAAAACATCATTGGCCTATGGCCAGATCCCATTGCACTTGACATTGTGAAGTGGGATGCGGGCAGCAGACGGAAACAAAGTTTTGGAACCTTCCACTAGAAGGTACTATACATTAGAGCTGGTTGTGAAGTGTTTTGTGGCAACAGTCTCAGTTTCAATGAACTTCCACTGAAACACAATTGTGTTGGAAGTGTGCCTCATTTCCTGCCAGCGAGCCCAGGCTCTTGGGGCTTCCAGGCTCCTTGATGTGCAAAGAGGAGGTTGGCAGCCCTGGAAGCCAGGGCTGGAGCAAGGGCTCTCAGGACCTCTAGGCTCTCAGCGGGGGGACCCCACCTCCAGGGGGAGTTCCCAGGTTGCTCCTGCGTTTCAACCAGCTCTGCTATACATACTTTTAGTCTTATTCCCCACATGCTCAGATGAGAGCACCTGTGATACAAGTCAGAGTGCTTACTTCAGAAGGTGTTCTAGTAATAGACATTGTACTGAGCCTCCTCTTAAAATGAGCAAGTGACATCATGTTCTCTTTTTTTTCCTCTTTCTGTCAGATGTACTCAAAGAAAAGAAGGCCTATTCGGAAGATAGGAATGAACCAAAACCAACTGTGAAAAAGATTGACACCACAGCCACCACAACCACAACCAAGTCATCTTCTAAACATGATCTAGCCGGAAATGTGGGCAATCTAGCCTCCAGTTCCTCACTTTTCATTGTAACAGCATTAGCGATGTTGTGGCACTGTCTGTCATAGCTGCATTGTATTGCAACAACTGTCCAAGAATTTCTGTCCATTGTCATTTATACCTTCAGCCTTACCCAACGGAAAACAAAGTTAAATGGCTCTCTAATATTATATGGTATGTTAGAATGAATGCTAAAAAAAAAAGGCTGAGATTGGCTGATAGTGATTGTCAGCACTTACACTGTGTCTGAAGAAGGTCCTTGATAATATCTTATCCACTCAAGATATAAAGGGAATGATGACAGGGGATCTGAGTAGTTTAAGTTATTGGGGTAGAAATAATTAACACTAAAATCGTAAATTACTGTATTGGCATTTTTCCCATTTTACTCACTGGGTAATCTCACTGGTTGTTTCTGTTTGTTAAATTCTTGCGATAAGTTCAAATGAATGATCATTCTTCTGGTGCAAGTTAATACATATGGTATTTCTCTAGTGAACAGCTAATAACCTATGTCTACAGTGGTGAACCATGTCAAGTGAAATACTCTCTACTAGTTTCATAAAGTTCCTAAGTGGCCAAGAAGATAAGAGCATGTTTGACCCTTTTGTTTTCGCTCTTACTGTTTAGATTTTAGGACACAATATAAAAAAGCATATGGTATGTTTGTAATGTGTAAGTATAGTTGCCTTTACCATTTAAAAATTTTTTTAGAAACACTTAACGTTTTACCGAGGCATACAGACAATGAGTTTCCCTGCCGCACAAAACTTCATTACCATATGCTCAAAGCTTACTGAATGAATGTCTGACAAAGGGAAACATAAGTAAACATTATAATGTTTTAATCAGCTGAATGCAGTTATATATGAAAAAAGCTAATTTAGTTCAAATGTATTTTACCTGTTTCCTATTGGAGAGGACCTTGTTTCCATCTAGGTGTCAGAGATATAAAGTGTTCGGATTCCTCTTACCCAAAAAGTGGTCTCCATGAATTGTAGACCTCTATAGTACAATATGTTTCATAAACCATGTATTATTTAATTATGTTTACTATTTTAAATTGTGCTATCACAATAGAAGTAAATGTAAAACAATATGAAATCTAGAACAACATTATCAGTCATTTCTCACTTTGATTTTCTATACCAGATAGTGTCAAAATCTTCATTTTATTCCTTGATGATTTAAATCAAGGAAACACTGATGTGTTTTGAAACTATGATGGAAAGGTACTATGATGTAATTAGATGCGTTGAGAACTAATATGTGTATTTTCTGACAACTGTATTTATAGTGCCATTGAAAATATATACATACGATACGGTATGAGTACAGTGATTAATGATAAATATATGAAGCATTGGGATTGTTATCACATTTACTTAATTTCATAACCATTTCCACCATTTAATGGCCATTTTCATGCTGCAGGCTATGATGATAAGATTTAATGTAAAGACATTTGCCTTTAATTTTTTTTGAGGGGAGGGGGAGTAAAACGTCTCTTTCAGCACTTAGATTTATACAAGCACTGACATTGATTCAAGAGACAAACCGTATATCATATCAACCAAGTTCTGGGTGTGACAGTATAGAATAGGAGGGCAGGATGTCATTGTACTTGTGTGTTCATGTGGTGTTAGCAAAAATTACTAATTAGCTCTATATTCGCAAAGGAGGGGATTTGACATTTTTGCATTTGGTCTTTAAAAATGTGTAAGTGCATAACTGTATAAGCAAAAGCATTCACATGTAGAAACTGAAAGTGGTCATGTTAAGCAGAGTCGCATTCCAGTTCTTTTAATGCTGGAAAAACAATCTGGCACCACCAAGACAAAAAGGAATAAGATGCTTAGAGCATTATCATGAAACATTCAGTGTTAGAATTCTGACTTTTCAACATGTTAATGAGTTAATACCATTAAGTAGTGAGTTCACATTGTATTAATGAGAATGAATCTTGCAAACATAGTATGAAAGTTGCTGTCTACAATTTTTCAGAGTTCACTGATACAGTAAATGAACAGCACCAGCCTATGCAGGCATACAGTAAAATTGCCATTTATGCACATTTTTACAGCCCTTGAGTCCTTTTAGAAAAGTGTACATTCACATGGCAGTTATGCAAGTTGTTCCTTTTGTACCTTGAAGTGATTTCCTAATTCTTTACAGTTTCACAGGACCAGATGGGATACCTGCCTTTAGACAGCTGTATCAGTGATTAGGCACCTAAATATGAGCAATGGGTACCCAAATGCTGATTTAGACACCTAGGGCAAGATCCTCAGCTGGCATAAATCAGCAAAGCTCCATTGAAGTCATTCACAGATGTACACCAGAAGAGGATCTGGCTGTTAAGTCAGTATTTTCATAGTTGGGAACCTAAAAATCAATATTTAGGTGAGTATATCAGCACTTGAATATCTCAAATGTGTATTTAGGTGCCAAAATATGGATCTGGGTCTCTGTGTTTTGAAATTGGCTCTCCCAAATTCCAGATGTGCAACTTCTAGTTTGTGAGAGAGTTTGAACATCCATTGCGTACCGGAGTCTGCTTTTTGAGAATTGTGCTGTAAGAGTCATTGTGCTACTGGATCAGACTGCAGCGATCCATCTAGCCTAGTATCATATAACCAAGAGTGGCCAGTACCAGTACATCAGAGGAAGGTGCAAGAAACCCTGCAGTAGGCAATTATGAAATAACCTGCCCAAAGAGAAATTTTCTTCCTAATCCCCATTAACCAGAGGTTGGTGTAGACCCTGAATCATAGTCTTGCTAAACTGAAAGATTAAATATTTTAATCTTTATTTTGGTTTATAAATTTCCACATGTGTCTATTGTATTACACAAGACAATAGTTAATCCAGCCCCTTTCAAACTAACCAGACTAAAATAAAACTGCACAAACTGTAGGGAGAAAGATTCATCAACTCACTTCATTGGATTCAACCCATATTTTAATAAATACAGATGAGTACGGGGGAGAAAAGGGGAAAAAGATACTATGGAGAGCTCAACATCAATACTTTTCACATTAACATAACTAGAACATCTCTTACTGCATTTAATACTTTAAAGAGAGTAAAGGTCAAACCAGCATGTAACATGTTCATAGTGTACATCAGAAATATGCTGCAGCTTTAAAGACATAATAGGATATTGTATCTAACACATTATGAAGCATTTTTCTTCACAGGTGAGTTGGAGCTGAGTATCAAATTCACATCCAAATAAGGCAAAAATAACTGATCAAATCCAACAAAGGGAGTATATCTTTTCAGATGAAAAATGAGATGTAAACATAGTTTTGCCAAGCAATTATGAATTTTATTTAGCCAGTGCTCTTTTATGTTTGTTGTTTTGATATAATCTGTTTTTGCAATATCCAGTGTTTGTGAATGCAAAGACTGGCACGTCGAGAGCTTGCTCATTTGTGGGTTAAAATGAGTCTGCTGAGGGTTTTGTTTGTTTTGTTGGAGTTTTTTTCCATAGCGATGTGTACTTCTTAACATAGAGAGCGAAACTGTCTGATGTGGTGTCGCCGCTTTGCACTGCACCACTAGTCTATCCTGGGCTAGGGAGGGTCACCCCAATGTTAAGGTTATGCTCCTGTTAGGGAGGATCATCCCTGCATAAGGGAGATGCTCCTGATAGCATTGAGCCAGCAGAGAGGTTTGTATGTCATTCTCCCTCTGGGCAGAGAGAAAAGTGGGTGTGGTTGTTGGAGGAAATGGTGTGTGGCTGAGATGCCATGCTGATCCTCAGCTGTGTTTTCAACCTCCCTAGGGCTGCTGAAGCCCTGCTGAAGTGAGAGCAGCCTGAAGGTACAGGGAGAGTGGCCCTGCGAACAGTTGCAGCAGGATTTGCAGATTGCTAAGGTACATATTAAGGCAACTTTATGCTCATATGCCATTACTTGCACTCTATGCAATTTACTGCACCCCAGCATCTGGCCCATAATTTCTAGCCTACATATTGCAACAGTGAGACATATTTTCAAGTACACAAGCTATTGTATCATTGCATAGAGAAATTTAGGACTCTGGCTCAGTAATGAATCTTTAGAGGTACAAATAGTATCTGTCTGAGCTCTATAAGGGCTGCACAGCAATAATTATCTACTGCCACATTTGTTTCAGAAGATCTGTGTATGGGGATTGGGTAAGATTTCCATCTCTCTCCATATGCTGCATCTGGTCTGTTGTTAACCCAAGTCCATTTTCCCCATGTGTATAGAGCCTTATTTTAACTGTTACAAGCATTATAACCCTGGTTCAGCAAGCCATCCTTATTTAGCACAGCACATGCTTAACTTTAAGTAAGTCCCATTCATATCAATGGAATTTAAGCATGTGTTTAAGTGTGGTAACTGAATAGGAATGGACAGCAATAAGCAAAGCTCCGAGTTTGGCTGAAATTGGCTGAATTGCACATAACTAATATGTGGGTGAAATTTCACCCCCGTCAGAGAGCCCCCATAAGGCCTATGCACTGTTTAAATAGGGGGGAGGGATAGCTCAGTGGTTTGAGCATTGGCCTGCTAAAGCCAGGGTTGTGAGTTCAATCTTGGTCCTGCTAGTGAAGGCAGGGGGCTGGACTCAATGACCTTTCTTCAGGGTCCCTTCCAGTTCTATGAGATAGGTATAGCTCCATATATTATATTATTTTATTATTATTCACTCAAGCTGTGCATAAGCCTTTGCTCATCCTCCCTGCACAGAGGCAGATTTCACTCTGAATAGGAAATACCATCTGCAATATAATATATTTGCCATCATCTCTCACAATATCATTGTTGAATTTTCATATAACCTAGGAATAGTATATGCTTGAGTCACATAGTGTCTACTGCAACACTGTGCTCTTAGGGTTACTGCTTTTAGTGGCACATGGCATGTCTGTCAATGAGCCATGAAAGGTGGATCAAAACTTGGCTTTTTTAGCTGTAGCATGCTCCCATCAAAAAGAGAAACAAACAAAAAACCCCACACCTGCCACAGTGATAATGTTAGATTAGCTATTCCATCTCCACAAAAGTCCAGAATTCTTCCCAATCATGCATTCTCCAGCATTTTGTCCTGTCAATTCTAATGATTAAATTTTAATTTGAATTAAATATTAAGACACTAAAAAAGTAAAAAAATATTGCCCAAGATAGAAAGTGGGCACACTTAAAATTCATTCTGGTTATAGAGATTATAGATTTCAGAATGGTTTCCTGGACTTCAAATGGGGAACACTGCTAGACTCACTAATATCTCTAGAATTGGACCAAATTTTTGAAATGCACTGAGAGTATATCACAACATAATGTGTATGTGAGAGTCTAATTCATTGGACTCAGAAAGAAGTATAGAAATAATGGGTGCATTAGATTTCTTACTTATGAAAGCTAATATTTCTTACTTCTGATCAAAGTGTGCCCCTTTTTTGGATTTTAGGGCAGGTATTCACATCCAACTTGCTCAAATGTCTTTTGAAAGACAGCCTTACCCCAATGCTGCTACAGTTCTGACAGGAGACTCCAGGACACAGCTGATGAGCCACATTTTTGTGCTGCACCTTTGTGACTGAGATTAGTATCAAGTCCTTACAATGGCACAGTATTGAACATTCTGGGCTTTGGGCTGTTACTCTACAACAGTATGATTTTCATTTATATATGGACATACACTAACTGAAATCTATTGGTGCTTTTTATGCAATACAGAAAGTACTTCATTAGATAGCAGGTATCAACTGCTAATGTTCTCATATCTGTGCAAAATGCATTAGTACTGCCTTGCACAAGTTCTACAGTTTGCACTTTATCATTATAGTTAATCTTTAGTAAATTGCCCAATACTTTGTAATTATAATATTAGCATCTAATTTAACACCATCTTTAAAAAATCATTTGTTGCATAATATAAGCAATTAACATTTATTCACTTTGTCTGTAACGGGGATATATAATTTATCCATAATGGCCTTTCTGTGCACCTAATTAGTACCTGGTTGAATTATTCTACAAGCTATGGCCATTTAATTTGACCAGTAATGTACTGCTAGTTTTATAAATTCCTTGCAAATATACACTTGTATAATTACTTTTCAGCTAAGTAGAAAACAATGTTTTCATATATCTTCTGGGTTTACATGGTTGGCTTTTAGGCTGCAATAACAAGAATAGGTAC